TTATTTTATCCAAAGACAACTCTTTCAGACTGATATTTTTTTCCAGGCAAAGTGGCAGGGATGCAATGAAATCCTCGTGCTTGTTTACAGTTTCATTTATAGTTCGTTTATGAACCTCCAAATTTGCTATCGTACTGAGCTATTTTGCTTACCAAAGGCACAGTGGCAATACAGTCTAAGTAGCTCTCTGAAGACCAACATTTGCACACATTACAGGAATGGCTAGACCCAGAGAGACCAGCAGCTCGCTGTACTGAATGAGAGTACCACTCATGGACATTCTGAAAGAAAGAACAAGCGTTCCCTAAACAGCAAAGCACCTCTCAACACCCCACCAGAGAAACACTGTCTTCTGTTTGGAAGCATCAAGTTTTATTCAAATCAGATTTTATTTTTTAACTCAGAAACCAAAGGAAATAATGGTGCAGTAGAATTAAACTCCCTGATATATACTTTAATATATCTTAATTTATAATAATTCTGTACCACAACTCGTCATACTGAATTCATAGAAACTGTTCAAAATACAAATTCTCCTCCAGAAACATGAGTTCTTCTATGTCACAATATTCACTAACAGAACAGAATCAGAGGATATCCATGGTACTAACCGAGTTTCCAACACTGCTGTCTAACACAAAGGATAAAAAAATCCCACAAGCAAGCAAAAAAACCCAAACCAATCCAACACCCCCACCAAAACAAAACCTTCTTAATAATGTATATGCAGAAAGATATTCTCTAATTTTATAAGGAAGGACACTTTTACTAGGTATTACACTTAGAATAGAAGTGTGCAATTTTGAAAATAAGCGAATTACTCAAACACCAAACCCAAAGATTTTAACAGCAAACAATGTAGTGGAACTTAGATATTTCTAAGTTATAAAAGGATGAGGTCTTGGAAACGGAAAGAGTACTTGCTTCAACATATTTACCTTTAGTGTATGTTCCACACCAGGTTAAAAACAGTAAGTAAAAACTTACATTTCAGTTATAATTGTCTTCTACAATATTATACACTGGTGTAAAATGTAACACAGAGAGAGGCTTAATACAGTGTTAATATTTAGATTTTGCATTTAATCACATTGGGGCCTATCACTTTCCACAAAAACATCTTTATATTGGCTATAAGAGTAGACAGAATAATGGTTTTGTCATTAAGCATCAAACATTTGGCAGTGCATCAATAATTCTCTTTAATTTGCTTTACCCTCAGAAGCTGGTGTGAGCTGTTGGGCCCTGCAGCGTGCTTCAATAATAGTGCATTAAAGGGAAAGTATCTATGCCTGGCTGACCATTCTGAAAGCTGTTTTTGAGTGGCTTGAAATCAGCTATTTGGATTCCCTACAGAGTCTTGGCTTCAAAAAGAAACAGATAATTTGTAATGCAAATAATCCACCATCTCTAGAACATCATCCTAATAGTGAACTACTAGAGGTATGAAATCTGCAGGCATAACAAACCCCAAAATATTGGCATAAACCTCTTAGTGTTGCTAAAATGTGTAAACACATACAAAAATATAAAGGTAAAACAAAGAAAAGGCAGACAATAACAATCTTGACTCCAACATTTACTAAACTACTACAGCAGGCCCCAGCTGGATAATACATTCACCCTCTCACTAAAAAGTTGCTATTACATACATTAAAATCAAAGTAAAAATACTTAAAACTTTAGGACATACCCAATAACTGTGTGCCATGAAACATACCATTGCTTACAACCCAGCAAATAAACACTAGAAACCAGGAATGACATATACAGCTTTGCTATTTTAATTCAAAAAGGCAATGCAAATTGGGAAAAAGACTTAGTCTATCATGATAGGATTTTATTTTTAGTTCTCACATTTTACAGCATTTGCAGAAGAAGTTATGCTCATCTACATCTTTAATTAAGGACACAGAGCAAATACAGAGAACTCATGGTATTCCAGTAATAAAAAGAAAGACCAAAACTCTTGGCTGCCTTATACTACTTAGCCCACTACATCTACTCCCACAGGAAGGAAGACAATCTGCATTGTAGCATCTCCTCCTCCACCCAGGCCTTAGCTCTCTGTAACAAGCTCTGATGAGCTAAATTCAATGAACATACAAGATGATGATTAAGCAACAAGCTTCTAAAGTGTTTCAAACACATTGGGTAGGGGGAAAGTTTGCTTAGACACACAACTTCTAAGACAAGAACATCTAATGGTCAGACACCTAGCAGCCCAAAGACTCTCCAAGTTACCCAAGGAACTAAAGCTGCAGCAATCAAAGTAAGTACTTCTTCAGTTGTTAATGAAAACCTTAACAAGAAAACTCAACAATGCAAGGTGATTTTACTACAGTCTTTTGTGAGAACTTTACAGATTGTCAGTATTGTGACTCAATGAAAAGATGAGAAAACCACACTGTTAAACACTGAGATAAGACTTATTAAGAACAACCATAAAAATCAAGTAAACTGAAAGTATGAATGTCCTTCATTCCTCCTTCCCTCCGCAATTGATTCAAGTTAATCGGAGAAATTATCACTGATGAAAGCGATAGAATATATACAAAAGTATATGCAAAAGTAATTTCAAGTATGTAGAGTGAATGGCTTAATAAGCTGATACAAAAAAATCAATCAGAATGTTTGCTACAACTGCATTTATTTTCTACAATTGCAGTGGCAAAAGATCAGGAGTAGTTTATTTGTGTAGATCTTGCAATAGATCTCGGAAGAAAGTCAAAAAACGCAGTAAGAAAACTACAGCAAAGACGGTGTATCAGACTTTGCCTTTGGTATACTCCTCCAAAGGATTCCATTGCCTTGCTTGAAAATTTGAATAATTAACGTTATTGGTTAAGATGTCCCAAGAACATACCATATAGATGGATAATTGAAAGCAGAAGAGAACACCAAGTGTGAAGAAAGAAAAAAGAAGCTGAAAACGTAGTTAAGTCTTTGAGATCTTGGAAGATATTCCAGGTCAGAAAAATCCCAAACAAACAAAAAACCCATGCCAAAAGAAAAAACCACAACCCTCAGCAAAACAAACAAAAAGCCCAGCCCAAAAAAAACAAACACAAAAAGCCCCCACCAGCTCCCCCCCCAAAAAATCTATGATTCTAGAAAAGGCTGTTCAGGAAGAAGGTAAGAAAACATGCGCTTAACAGAGACAACATTATAACGAGAAAGAAAAAGTACTATTAGATTTAAAAGTCAAGGAGACTAAAGCGCATCTTGTGAAGCACATTTTAAGCATAGCCACACCTCTTCATTCTGCTGCTGCTCTGGAAATAAGTGCACTGTTCTACACTCTGTTCAAAGCACCCCAAGAGATCTGCTCAGAAG